GAGAACATTTTATACTTAAATGAAAGTAATACCATGCAAGAATAAAAATACGTGAATCAGGAATTTATTTTTTTTTCTGTGTTCTTCTTCTTGTTTCCCCTTGATTGGTTTTCCGACTCAATTTTATCGCAATTCGTACGCGTTTGCAAATAGCCCGTATGATATAGGTATTATTATTTATCCTGTAAGGTAAAATAATAACATTCCATCTCATATGGTCGCGGAATAGAACTTGGTCCAGCAGAACATATTCCGGAAGCGATAATGGCTATGTTTCTATACGTATATTTGTGCATTAAGTTTCCCTGCAATTGCACTCTTTCTAATGTTCCGGATTGTAATTGTAATTACGAATACAAGATTCATCGATTTTATTTGCGTTTGGGCAAATGTCGTCAGGTAGTGGAATCTATCCGCAGTTTACGATCGTATTTCTATCTGCGTTTATACGAATTTGCGTTTTATCGTAATTCTTCTTCTTCTTCTTCTGGTTTCCCCTTGATTGGTTTTCCGACTCAATTTTATCGCAATTTGTACGCGTTTGCAAATAGCCCGTATAATATTATTAGTGATATTATATAAGTTAAATAGCCTAAGTCTTGACCATTCGTCGTGATTAGAATATTATTAAAATTAAATTAATAGGATTAAAGTTTGCTTTACATTTTTTTTATAGATAAAATAAATAAAAATTCAAAAAATGCTCTAGTTTCCTAAATCGCACCATAATATAACTTCTTAAATCGCACGTTATCTAATATTTTTCCATTTCTTAAATTTTTATTCCATTCATTATTATGTAAAAATGTATATTGCAAATCTACGAAGTGTTTATTTTGTTTCACTTAGAAACTCTTTAAATTACTCTGTCTTCTTGACATTATCTCTCATTTCTAAGATTTCGGGTTTACGACCTTTCGGGACATTATCACAATTCTTAAATTTCGGAATTTTAACTTTTCGGGATATTGTCTCTTATCTAAGATTTCGAGATTATGTCTCTTCGGGACATTGTTGTAGTTTTCAATTTTCAGGATATATTTTTTCGGGATTTTGCATGTCCTCCGCAATTCTTCTTCTTCTTCTTCAGGTTTCCCTTTGATTGGTTTTCCGATGCAATTTTATCGCTATTCGTACGCGTTTACAAATAGCCCGTATGATATTATTAGTATTATTATTTATCCTGTAAGTTAAAATAATAACACTCCATCTCATAGGATCGCGGAATAGAACTTGGTCCAGCGGAACATATTCCGGAAGGGATAACGGCTATGTTTACGCTTAATCGATTTTATTTGCGTTTGGGCAAATGTCGTCAGGTAGTGGAACCTATCCGCAGTTTACGATCGTATTTCTATCTGCGCCTATACGAATTTGCGTTTTATCGCAATTCACGCGTTTGCAAATAGCCCGTATATGAGCATGGAACTGCAATGCATGGAGGATATTCGTAATACGTTTCTATATGTATAGCCATGCATAAAGTTTTCCTGCAATTGCACTCTTTCTAATGTTCCATAACAACGCCACCGTTAGCACCAGTATCGTATATAGGTACACTGTCGGCGGCAGTAGAAATCAAATACTGATGCTGATTCTTTATCAAAAATTTCGGGATTTTAACTTTTCGGGATATTGTCTCATATCTAAGATTTCGGGTTTAAGTCTCTTCGAGACATTGTCGTAGTTTACAATTTTCGGGTCATTTTTTGCGGGACTTTGCATGTCCTCCGCAATTCTTCTACTTCTTCTTCAGGTTTCCCCTTGATTGGTTTTCCGACTCAATTTTATCGCTATTCGTACGCGTTTGGAAATAGCCCGTATATGAGCATGGAACTGCAATGCATGGAGAATATTCGTAATACGTTTCTATACGTATATTCGTGCATAAAGTTTCCCTGCAATTGCACTCTTTCTAATGTTCCGGATTGTAATTGTAATTACGAATACAAGATTCATCGATTTTATTTGCGTTTGGGCAAATGTCGTCAGGTAGTTGAATTTATCCGCAGTTTACGATTGTATTTCTATCTGCGCCTATACGAATTTGCGTTTTATCGCAATTCTTCTTCTTTTTCTTCTGGTTTCCCCTTGATTGGTTTTCCGTTTTGCATGAGAAAGTTTTACACTATAAAATAATAGTGCAGTGTAATATAATAGAATATTAGATAAACTTACAACCTTACCTACAACCTACAACCGTTTTCAGTAGGCTGAATATGTGCTTTTGAAATCGTAATTACTCATAAACGCTGATACCGAGTACAATTTGTACTCGGTATATTCGCAAATACGGATAGGCTTTGTATCGGCTTGTATCTGCATTTGCTAATATTAATGATCCCTGGATGTATGAGGAATTACGATTTCAAAAGCACATATTCAGTCTACTAAAAAAACGGATAAGTTTTTTTATGCGGATTTTTTTTATATCTATTATGAATTTCCGGCAGGGCAGCCAAAAAACATTGATTTAATATTAAAAACTTTTAATAACACAAGACCACAAAAAAAATTTTTGAAGAGCACCTCAAAGCAGAATAGGTGTTTCTTATAGATTTTGGGTCACTGAATTCGAATTCGTAAGCCGTTTTGCTCCATCACCTCCAATTTTTTAGTTAATCATAAAAAATGACGAAAAATCCGTGAAAATTAATACAACATTCAAATGTGGTCGCAGAACTGATTTAAATATATTTTGGCAAGCGCTTCTTTAACAAAGTGTAAGAAACAATTTTGCTTTACTAATGTTAGGTATAATTATAGCCTGTATACGCGCCGCTCGAGTTATAGTTGTCAGAGTACAAAAATATCGTCGAGAACATTTATTTTACTAAAGCTCTTACATGTTTTGGCTCATTTTTGAGCCTTCTTCAGAGACAACTAATAAACTCACATATATAGAATATAACAATTATTAACTAGTCATGGTGATCTTCCTCACCTCGAGAGTATAAATGCCAGAATTAAATCCAGATATAGTAAGAATGCAATAAAGAAAAAAAGGAAAGAAATTTTGAAAATCTCGAAATAAAGAAAATGTAAAACTAATGTATCAAAAAATTTTGAAATTATAATTAATTATTCCGATGGTTAGGAAGCTCACCCTGATCACAAGATACCGCATCACAAACATTACTCTTAATAATTCAAACTTTGTTTACGGTTATATTATAGTATTGTGTATTATTATATTATTATCTATTACATTATCATATACATATTTAGCATTTTTATTTCTTAATAAAACTTTGTAAGGTCCTAGTGTCCGGACATATACCTATATACAGTTGTATATATCTATATACATGTACCTATATATATAGCGCGCAGTTTGTTAGACTATAAGTATGGTATATATGTCAAGTATACATCATTAGTAGATTTATATTTAGTAGATTTAAGATCGAATTATTTAAGCTTTATATATTGGGTGGATCCATATATTCGTTCGGTTTTTGTTAGTTTGCAAATTTTTTCCGAATATCTCCGGTTCTGGTTGCCTAATCGGGCAATCCAAATATGTTTTGGAAAGGTGACAGTCCACTCTTTTCATCTGTCAAATTTGGTTTCATTGGCATTAGTTTTGTTTGTGCTACAGGCCTGTGAACATATCGGAGAATAAGGTGCATTTTCGGCACATTTTGCTTTATTACTTCAAGAAAGGCAAGCAAGCTGCGGAGGCTCACCGAAAGATATGCGGCGTATACGGGGACGATGCCTTAACAGAACGTGCCGCTCAGAAATGGTTTGCCAAATTTCGTTCCGGAGATACGAGTCTTGAAGATGGACCCCGCAGCGGTCGGCCCACCGAGGTTGATTCGAATGATATCAAGGCACTGGTTGAGCAAGACCGGACGCTAAAGATGCGAGAGATTGCGGAGACACTTAAAATAGGTTATGGAACCGTACAAAGGCATTTGCAACAACTTGGCTACGTGTCCCGCCTCGATGTTTGGGTGCCGCACAAGCTGACCGAGGAGAATCTGGCCAACCGCATATCCATCTGCAATTCACTTTTGAAGCGGCACGAAAGCGACCCGTTTCTCAAACGAATAGTGACTGGCGACGAAAAATGGATCATCTACGACAACATAGTGCGCAAGAGATCGTGGGGAACCGCTGGCGAGCCGCCGAATGCCACCCCGAAGGCCGGCCTGCATCCGAAGAAGATTTTGCTATCCATATGGTGGGATCATCGTAGTGTGCTGTTTTACGAGCTGCTTCCTCAGGGAAAAACGATCGATTCGAAGGTCTACTGCACGCAGCTAACGAAATTGAATCAAGCATTGCGACAGAAACGTCCAGAACTGGTCAATCGCAAAGGTGTCATATTCCACCATGACAACGCCAGACCCCACACCGCAATAATCACTCAGCAAAAATTAGTGCAACTTGGCTGGGAAGTTTTGCCTCATCCACCGTATTCACCTTGCGCCATCCGACTACCACTTGTTCCGGTCCCTGCAAAACTCCCTCAACGGAAAATCGTTCGCTGATTAGACAGCTGTGAAAATGTACCTCTATCGGTTTTTCGCCTCTAAGCCCCAGACCTTCTATGAGAGCGGAATAATGAAATTGTTGGAAAGATGGCAAGAGGTCATCAACAAAAACGGAGAATATATCATTGATTAAAATTCATCCTTTGTATGAAAAAAACTTGTTTTATTTTAGCCTTCAAAAACCGAACGAATATATGGATCCACCCAATATATAATTCCATGTATGTATACAAGAATTTATTTTGTAACAACACACAGATTTGTGTGCAACGTTTATATATAAGTACGTTTTATTTTTGTGTACAACGTTTATATAAGTACGTTTTATTTCACTCAGTATTCTCCTACCAAGTTGTACGTAATGGCGGATGGTAAACAATATATTCCGTGTGAGTAGAAATGCGTTTATGCAAAATTAATATTCTCTTTTATTTTTATTATATATAATTCCATGTATGTATACAAGAATTTATTTTGTAACAGATTTGTGTGCAATGTTCATATATACGTATAAGTATGTTTATATATTTTATTTTCTTGTTAACATATATAAAAGTGAATAAACGAACTAAAATTCAATTATTTTGTCAAATTATATACTTAATTTTGACCTATCAAATATTTTCGTAGTATAATAAGCTTTTTTGTTTCTGCATGACATGATAACTATAAGTAATGAAGCGCTGATTTATGATGGGAACAAAGAAATATAAATTGTAATTTGTAAGCTTTAATTTTATTCAATGATATATGAAACTACAGAGTGTAATAGGTATACCTTGTTTGATTCGAATAATCTTATATTATTTTTGCATGTACACACGTTTTGTTATATAACAGATGATAATAATATTGATTAAAAGTTGACTCAAGAAAGTGAAATATAAACAAAATCAATTTTATTAGTAATAATTTTTATCAAATGTACATTTATTACTAATAAAACTGATTTTGTTCATATTTCACTTTCTTTTTTTAAGTCAACTTACATGTTTTGATCTTGTCAACTTTTAATTAATAATGTTATCTGTTATATAACAAAACGCAAAAATAATATAAAGTTGTTCGAATCAAACATTTGGTTATTGTATTTCAATAGCTAGTTATTTAAAACAAAATGTTAGTTTCCATTAATTAAATACATTTTTCATGTTATCATTTTATTTGATTGTAGAAAATAAACTTTGATTCTATGAAATACGTGAATGGTTAATCAAATAAATTCGTCAGTTTTTGTCAACATTTTTTTTGTTACAGCAACTATAATGACTTTCTGGAGAAACAAATATTTTGTCAAATTAAGGCGTCTTCACACTCAATATACTTCATAAATACTTGGACCAGCAAGAAAGATAGTTTATTCAATTTAAATTATTACGAAATGATCAAAATATTTCATTTTATTAAAAGGATATTGTCTCACATCAAACAAATATAAAGTTCGTTCTATTGTCTATTTTGATGGTAATATTGATCTGTACAAATTTCAACTATAAAGAAGTTGGGTGTAAACGTTATGTATTTATTTTAAACATAAATTTGGTTGTTTTATTATAATTTTTGTTTGACATACACATCCTTTATTGTCTCAATTAATGCTATACTTAATGGATTATCAAAATAAATTGTTATTCAATTAAATATACTCTGGAATCAAGTAAACATTTTGTCTACAGTATCTTAATTTGGTTAAGCCAAACTTAAAATCATCATAGTAATTTAACAAAATATATTGTTCTTATTACAATGATATTTATTTGCACGTATAATATTTATTTCGACCGCAGCATTTTGTTGAGTCAAATAATTTTTTTTTCATAGAACAAATTTTTTTTCTCAGTGTAGTAATTGATTTTTTCAAAGACTACCAAATCATAATAGTCTCAACTTAATGAAATGGTTGAATCATTTCCGTTAACCAACATTGAACAGTTTGTTAAGCAGACTATGGTTAAATTCGATTAAACAAAATTCGTTGCATTAACCAAATCTGCAACCAACTAAATGTGTTTAATTGGTCGAACAAATTTTTTTTCTCAGTTCACGGATTAAATCTGCGTATAACGGCTTTAATGTACACTAATGTGCACTAGTACGTGCATTTCGTGCCGAGCCCTGTACTAAAGTATTCAAAGCTTTTTTTGTTAAAATATAAAAGTAGCGTCTCAATCGCATTCACAAAAAAAATTCGAGAAAAATTTAACAATCTTTTTTAACAATTTCTATTTGACAAAATTGTTCCTTAATTTTTTTTAAACATTATCCCACTGAACCCCATAACATTTTTTTTCCATCAAAATCGATCAAGCCATTATCGAGAAAAAAATTTTCTTTTTTTTCCTTCATACCTCCATAATTCCCATAAAGGCTATATTTGAGATATATGCTTTTGGGGAAATAACACATACATCAGTGGTGACTTATAATTAAAATCTTGACCGGATCCGGCTGGGGGCAGAAATCACTTGCTTATCTTGCTATGCTAACTTTTTATATTTTGGAAATTATAATACATTTTCTATTATAACCGAATTGTCACTGCCATAAAAATTATATACTACGCTTCTCAGACGACTCCTCTATCCTGTGGCTCTTGCCAACCACCAAATTTTCTTTCGATTTCTTGCGCAACAGCAATCGTCAAATGGTCACAGCCCGGATTCGCGACGATCTACAAAAATGAAGTTAAAACTAATTAAATGTAAATGGTTCATCAATTGTTACAAAAAACTCTGAATATACCAATTATAAATTCAAAATTGTAAATAAATTAAAAATCAATACAATCTGGATACAGTATAGCAATATTTAAGTACTTTAGTCATAGTAATATCGACAAGAAAATAAAATGCTATCTATAGGGGGAGACCGGGGCTAAGTGGGCATTTGAATTTTGAATGGCAAAAATATATCTTATAAGTTCTCAATTTATATTATAAATAGCATCTCATGTGCTTTCTTTACCAACGAAGTTTGGTTAGTTTCGATGCGCCGCGTTGTTATATTTAAATAGTCAAACGTGTTTTCGATAGTCAAAAATAATTTTTGAGATTTCATTTTCCGCGAATCACATCATTTTTTATATATTATATATGGATGAAATAAAGTTGTAAACACTAAAAGTTTTTATTGCCATCTTGTAGTCTTATAATCACTATAAAACGCTAATAATCATTTGATTAAAATTGTTTACTTTGTTATTGAAAATTGCAATTGAAAAAAAGGTGCCCACTTAGGGAGACCTCAATCTCCCCTATATTTTGCATCTTTCGATCGGTAATTCACAGTCCTTTCTTTTTCAAGATCTTATATAAATAATCTTGAAATACAGCTCTATGTGATTGTTTTAAGATATTTTAATTAAGATTATACTTAATAAGACGGTCTTAAATATAAGAATCAATTATAAATATCAGTTTATATCGTTTTCGTAGTTTCGATCGATTATATAATCACTGAGTCTGTCTCCTGGATCTTAAATAAATAAACTACTCAATTTTTTGTTCATGAATGATTAAACAGCGATGGTTTTATTTTTTTACCTGAAGTCCAATCGGCAGTTGGTTTTTATCGAAGCCAAGTGGACACTGTGTGACCGGAAATCCCAGCACGTTGAAAATCATCATGAATGTGTTATTAGATATGTTGTATAAACACTCATGAGGATAATGCGCCGACGAAGTAAAGGATGGACAAATTAATACGCCATCATTACCCAGCAGCTCCTAAGCAAATGTTATTGCGGACGTTAATGTAATATAATCGAATATAAGACATCAATACGTTAAAAATGCACTAAAAAGGTAATCTTAGCAATCTTAGTTTATGCAGTTGTGAATAAAAAAGTACAATGACTTTAAAATTAATATTTGCAGATAACGCCGCATTTTGCTACAATTACCGTGTCAATTCGTTTGGGCATATTATACTTTCTACATTTTAAGTAATTTATTTTGAATGCTTCAATTAATTGACGTTTGTTGATGATACATTGCTTGGAAATTTTTCTTTTCATCAATTCTCAAAAGTTCTCGGTAGGATTGACTAAATGACTATAAATGAGAGAAGGTGCTATTTATAGTAGTGCCAAGGTATAAATTTTATGAACATCAGTATTTCATCAAAAGAATAATAACAACACAGTGTCGTTATATTTATATTTACAAATTTAAAAATTAATTGCAACTTTAACATAAAATTATGAATTTATGTAAGTGGTTCTAATAATTTGATTACCCATTGTAGACACTCTACCTCAAATTGCTTTTTCAATCGCGTCCTTAGTTTCATCATTTTATCATAAATGCTAACTGGCAAACTTTCGACAATATTCTTGAATAGTCCGAAAAAGATAATAGGAAAAGTATGCGGCGACATGAAGAAAATATATTTTAATATTTCCGTGGACACCCTCTTCGATTTCTGAAAAATTATTATAAAATATATACTTGTGCCCCATATCTTAACAATGAATCTCGTCATTTAACTGTACCTTAGGATTATCCCAACGATTAAATATTGAATATATATCTTTGATACTGAGAAGAATAATCGTGCTTAATTCAAAAGATCGTTTCATGTCTTCAAAATTTACCTGCAAATGATCAAAGAAATAAATATGATATTTATCTATATATATCTGTATTTATCTATATTTGCCTCCTGAGGTAATATTGTTTGTTATAATTTCTTTACAAATTTTTTTAATTTAATTTAATTTAGGAAGGATTATTAGTGTTTCGGATTGATTGTTAATATTAAAAATCCGAAAATATTACTGGCGTGTAGTCATATCTGAACATTATATAATAATTTATTTAATAAATAATAATGTAATATTTGAAACATCCAACTTTGACTGTAATTGACTGTCTTATATATTATAGTTTAATTATTCGTATAAACGGTCTTGTTTTAAAAATCTTAGCATTTTTTTTCTATATAAAAACTGTTATTTTAAAAATTTTTTAAATTTTAATCTTTTAAATAGGGTGAATCTATATATAACATTAAATCTTCAGTATTTTGCATGATTTCAACGTTACATAATTTTTAACAATTATATCATTACATACAAATAAAATGCCATAATTGTTATGCTGCATAACTATTGTGTTATATTGCATAATTTTTGTTATTGTATGTAAATATATTTTATTGTATATATTATTTTTAATTAATTATCGGAAAAAAATTAAATTATTACTGTGTTATACTACACATATAAAGAAATAGTGTCTATTTTATATCTAATAATTTAATCTTTCTGATAATAAATTAAAAGTAATTTATAATGTAAACAAAATTCTGACATACTTTTTCTACTTTAACACCACTTATTGCTTCTAAATGTCTCATCAAT